TACGACAAATAGATCCCTAAAGGTACTTAAGTTAATATATAGCCTTTTAACTGGTATATAACCGAGAAGCAGAAGATGTGACACAAAAGATTAAAGTCTAAAAAGGTTCCAGCGTTATATTATTTACTTTGGCGGAAGAATATGTATGAACTCTTCTCCATAAGAACCATTGAGAGAGAGAGAGAGAGAGAGAGAGAGAGAGACAAAGTCGAAAAAAAAAAAATCAAGAAACGCAGCTACAATCTTCATCCCTAGATATAACTTAAAAATAGACGTCTCCACCACCACCACCAGACACCGACATAACCATTAGTTATCTGAAGAAAGAAAAGAAAAGAACAAATAAAGATAGAGGCTTTGAATTACACTCCAGGAAACGTAACTATCGGCTGGTTGAGATTAGAACGGGCGAGTAAGCCTGAGGAAAGCTTTGACCATTTCCTTTGAATACTATATCCCTATGTTGGAGCTCTGAGTCTTGTGTTGAGCTCTGAGTCTTATGTTGTTAGAGCTCTGAGTCTTGCGTTGTAGGAGCTCTGAGTCTTGGGTTGTGTCGTATGCTTAAAACCCTGTGGTGGTGTGGTAGTGGTGGTAGTTTGATAGTGGTGGGAGTGGAGGGAGTGGTGATGGTGGTAATGTGGTGATGGTGTGGTAATGTAGTGGTGATGACATTCGGGGGAAATTCAAATGTTGACACCAGTTGAATTGTCCTTATTCCGGCCGGGATGTTGGTTGGATTGCCTAGTACATTTTTTTTTTTTAAGAGGTTAGCCCACCAGGGCACAGGTTCACTGACCCACATCAGGGCCTGGGGGGCGAAATAATAATAAACAACAATGGATAACATTAATAGCAAATTAATAAAAATAAATAAAATAATAATAATAACCATAAATAAATACAAAAACGAAAAAATAAATCAAGAGTGAGAACGATATACTGTACAGTATGTATGTTGTGTTGTCTAAGTAAGCGAAACAATTGAGACCCTGCAACTGCGTATAAATGAGGCAGAAAGTTAGATCAGCAACCTGGGACTTGATGACAATTTTCGGGATGCCATATGGCAGCAGGGTCTACCATTAGACAACACATTATGCTTCCAATATCTTCCCAGGTGGTAGTACCTCCCTGTTTGGTGGCTGCCTACTACCTGAGGCAGTAATGTGTCGGTGTTGTCCTGGGTGCTCAAATGAGGAAGGATCCATAAACTCGAAAGTGATTATTAAGATTATCTGAAGATTAACTCCAACTTATTTCACCTTAACGCTAACCTAACCTAACCTAACGCTAGCTTAACCTAAATGTATATATGTATGTATGTATGTATGTATGTATGTATGTATGTATGTATGTATGTATTAAGCAAGCGTGTAATTCTCTCCCACACTCTACATCCTGCCTTAATGATGCTCTCTCTCTCTCTCTCTCTCTCTCTCTCTCTCTCTCTCTCTCTCTCTCTCTCTCTACGTGACAGCTGGGGATAAACAACACCGTATCTCAGATTCTAGATGCTACAGTTAAACCAGTCAGTTATCACACAAGACGCTACAGTTAAACCAGTCAGTTATCACACAAGACGCTACAGTTAAACCAGTCAGTTATCACACAAGACGCTACAGTTAAACCAGTCAGTTATCACACAAGACGCTACAGTTAAACCAGTCAGTTATCACACAAGACGCTACAGTTAAACCAGTCAGTTATCACACAAGACGCTACAGTTAAACCAGTCAGTTATCACACAAGACGCTACAGTTAAACCAGTCAGTTATCACACAAGACGCTACAGTTAAACCAGTCAGTTATCACACAAGACGCTACAGTTAAACCAGTCAGTTATCACACAAGACGCTACAGTTAAACCAGTCAGTTATCACACAAGACGCAACATAATCGATGATGATAAAGAAGTATGATGTTCGTAACTGTAAATACTGAAGTTAGTTAACATTTAACAGAGCAGGATACAGTAATTATGTAACTTGATACAGTCTAACAGTCATTTTAAGTCTGGTTACAGGGAGGAATCATAACTGGATGTTTGGGTTCATTTAAAGATTAACCTCCCACTCCTAACCTAACCTAACCTAACCTATCACGTTGCGTTAAGTGAAATAAGTTAGTCCTGTCTCAAGTTGGGCAAGGGTGTGTGTGTGTGTGTGTGCGTGTGTGTGTGTGTGTACAAAGGGGTCACACGGCTTATGGATGAGTACAGGCATCCTTAGCTACGTCCGGTGTGCCCCCTCCACCTCTCTCCCTCCCCCTTTCAATCCTTCCCCCTCATCCTCCTCCTTTTCTTCGTTAACCACATCGCCTCCTGCAACACGCTTCCCCTTCAACAATTTTCTTCTCCTTAAATCCCCCTTAACCTCAACAAATCCCCCTTTCGCCCCCTCAACTAACCCCCACCTCACTCACGCCCCCCTAACCTCCAACACCCCCCCCCTCCTTACCTCAGTGACGACTCTTCTCAAACATCCGGTCAACACTAATTACAAACAAACAACACACCTACACCTGAGGAATATTTTAATTAAGGTGACTCCCGCAAAATAAGTCTCAAGAACAAGATATCTTATTATTTTTGTTGTTGTTTATCTCAGTGTGTTCGTGTGTTCGTCATTTGTTTGTTTTTCTCTTACCGTCATTTGTTTTTTAATCTTACCGTCATTTGTTTTTCTCTTACCATATACTGCAGTACACTTTTCACTTATTATCAATGGCGATGAATTAAAGGAAATACAATTCTTGGATTATATAGGAAGATAATAACGGCTTTATAATACTTATTATATTATGTAATGAAGTCTTAACAATTTCAATACATAAAAATAATAGATCCAATTTTTAAAACTATATATTATTAAATAAATATAAATGTATATCCGGTAAATACTAGATTACTTAATAAATGAATGAATATAAGAATAAAGAGATTAAATGTTAAATAATTAAATATACGATTAAATAAATAAATAAACAAGACCTTTACTTTATAAACGATATGATTTGTGGGATTTTACGTATTACCGATGTTATTTTGTTTGGGTTTAATTTACCCTATTGAAAGTTACGTATTCTTTCGTTTATAGTTGTCGCGTATGAAATAGTTTTTACTTATTACAAGACTTTTTTAAGTAGTAAAAACACAAAAATAAACTTAAAGCAAGAATTAAACCGAATATAAAATAATTACAAAATATAAACACACCTAAACATACGAGTATACATATAATAAGAAGAGAAACAAGTCGTAAAAAAATAATCACATTGGGTAACTCCGGCACAGATGGCCAGGCAAGGGAGGGAGACAGGGCGCCATCGTGTCCCAACTCATCGGAAAAATCCCTCCTTGGTACAGTAATTTAACCTCGGAATCTCCCTAACCTCATCCTTACCTAACCTTTGAACTTTTCTCTAAGACCCTGTTCCCCCCCACCACCGTGTGACACCGGAATGTTACGTCAAATAAGTACACGCCAGGATGGTGGTGGTAGTGGAAGGTGTTTATTTGTTGGGAATTTATTATTTTTTTTTGGGGGGTGTGGGGTTGAAAATGTCTTAATTCAGGGTTATGTTGTCAATTGATTCTACTTCTATGTTTTATTATTATTATTATCGTCATTATTATTACTATTATTCATTATTATTATTACGAGAGGAAGTTCTTTTCGACTTACGTGTTATTCGGATGTGGTCAGAAGTTCACTACAATATGTGGTTACTTTCTCGGTAAACTCCCCCTTTTGTTGTTGTTGTTGTTTGTTTTGTGGTGCTGAGTGTAGGTGTTTGTGATGTTTTTTGTTTTTGACGTTTTGTTTTATTTGTGTTTTTAGTTTTTTTTTATTTAAGGCCTTATTTTAATATTTTAATGGTGTGTCTGATTGTCTTTATCTATCTATCTGTTACTCATCATCTGTACTATAAAGCTACAATGTGTGTGTGTGTGTGTGTGTGTGTGTGTGTGTGTGTACGTCTCTCCCTTCTATGTAGACATGTCGGCCTTTCTCACTCTCACCCCCCCACCGTGTCTCTACATCCTTGTTCTAAGAACACCTCACCTCCCTCACCTCACCTCACCTCCTCACTCCCTCACCTCCTCCCTCACCCCTCACCTCCTCGCCTCTCCCACCTCACCTCCTCCACCCCCTCCCTCCCTCCTCCTCACCTCACCTCCTCCCACCCCTCACCTCCCCCCACCCCCTCGCCTCCCAACGTATACTGAAATTCTGGTTCCATATGTAAGAAACGTTTTTTTTTAATTTTCTGCCTAAAGTCACTTTGTTAGATTAGGTTTTGTCAGGTTAGGTTAGGTAAGGTTTTGGTTAGGTTAGGTTAGGTTTTAGTTGGGTTAGGTTAGGTTAATCTTAAGGTGAACTAAGCTGGGTGGGTTATATGTTTAGTTGAGTCATAGGAGCTTGTCCACGTCTTCGTAAACATTCAATCGTTTTTAGCAGGTATAACCAACACAAACGTTTCTAAGTCAGGGATCATCTCCGTAAAATATACCAAATATGTATATGTGTATGTTTGTATGTATGTATGTATGTATATATATATATATATATATATATATATATATATATATATATATATATATATATATATATATATATATATATATATGTGTGTGTGTGTGTGTGTGTGTGTGTGTGTGTGTGTACGCCACCTCGGTACACTCAACCTCCTCTTAGTCCCACATTGAACCATTGTGTCTGTTACTACGCAGCTGACACACACACTCACACACACACACTCACACATCCATCTCTATGTCTGTCTGTCTGTTTGTCTTTGTTCCTCTGTCTAATTATCTGTCTTTGTAATATTCGTCTGTCTTTATATAACTGTTTTTGTCTGTCTGTCTATCTCCTACAAAACTTAAATGAATAAATATCAAGGTCAAAGTACAGGTCAAGGTCAAAGGTTAATTAAAGGTGTGGAATTCTAAGGCACCATTTACCTGCTATTAATTACATCTCTCTCTCCTGACACAGCGGGATGTACAGTGCCAGAGGGGGCGGAATGTACACGCCCACTATGCAAGACATGACCTCAGCGCCTACCAACATGTGGCCTCAGCAGGGTGAGTTATAATTTGGGCGTGTGGGCGGGGTGTGGGGAGGATAGATATGGGGGTTATGGGTGTATGTATGAGAGAATGTGTGGGTGGAGGGTGTATGAATGGGTGGGAGTGTGTGGGTTTAAGATGGATGGGTGGGAGTGTCTGGGTGGATGGGTGGGTGTAGGATGAATGGGTGGGAGTGTGTGGGTGTAAGATGGATGGGTGGGAGTGTCTGGGTGGATGGGTGGGTGTAGGATGAATGGATGGGAGTGTGTGTGTGGGGGGGTAGTGTGTGGGTAGGTGGGTGTGATAGTAACTGTGGGTGGTAGGAGGTCTGAGATAAGAGGGAAAGAGGATGTTGGAGTATTGTTGACGTAGGATTGGATATCATTTAGGATGTAATTATGTGAAGGATTTTGTATGCAGGTGTGTGTGTGTGTGTGTGTGTAGAGTGCGTTCTAAGAATGGGAAGCTTTGAGTGTTACCTACATCAACATCCTTCTTTGATTCACTTACATCTGATAACCTTCTGATTGTCCTGTTTAAGTTCCTCTGATTTACATATTTTCTGATTTCTTTCCTTTTGCCCCTCCTACTCTTCTTCCACCTTTTCTTCCACACATAATAAGACTCTAACCTCCTCCTCCTCCTCCTTCTTCCCCTTCTACAGTAGACTACGGGATGCAGGACCTGGGAGTAATGAAGACCTCGCCCTCGACTCCACCCCTCAACTTCCCGTCACAAGTATATGGTCGACCTCAGGTAACGCAGCGCCAGCCTTGTACATTACCTACTAGTACTTCCATACCTACGCTTAACCAGGTGTGTTTGCCAGGTCACTACTCCTCTACATACATACATTACATACATACATACATACATACATACATAGTTTTAGCAATCACTATGAAAAACCCTTGCTTCCATTATCTTCACTACACACAACAACAACCAACAATTCTAATAATAATAATAATAATAATAACAGAAACAAACCACAATGATAATAATAATGATGACAATAATAATATGATAATTCGTGTTAAATCTTACATTAATACGTTATAAGATAAGCAAACACCTCCCTGAGTCCTGAACCTGTTAATGACCCGTGTCCACCCCTCGCGTCTAACAGCTGCCATCAAGTAACATGCCTCTGACCCGCTCCACACTCGGCTACGGCGGCTATGACATGTCAGGCTCGTGGGCGGCAGCAACGGACCCCTACAACGCCTATGGTCCGCAACACGTCCGCACCGCCATCTCGGCAGTGAAAGGTAAACAATTTAAATGTTCTTGTTTTGTTGGTATGTTATTGTAAGAAGGAGGAATATATCTCTTAATGGTTTAATGATGTTGATGAGTAGTTAATCTACTAACCATGAATACAGAGCTAATAAGATTCCTTTAGTTGTTGAAGCACAGTAATGGCTAATCTTGAATAGGTTACGTGTTGAAGCGCTCTATAACATTATAACACCAACAACAGAGGGTGGGAGACGTTATGCCTTAACTAGAATAAACATTAAAATACATATATAAATAAGAATTACCTCAATGGGATAACTAACACAAAAGTAAAATATGATAAAAACAAAATCTTAATGAAGCAACAACCTCTTACATACGGGGTCTCTCAGAGCTGAATAAAAATCGTCCATCGTAAACCAAATACAACATTAAAATTGGCGTCCCAGTCGTGAATAAAATTAAATATATCTACAGAATTTACCATTTAGTAGGAATTAATTTACTCTAATAAACACAAATAGAACACGACATAGATACCAATACTGCAGTAGGGAGAGGAATACGAGGTGTAATTCCGTGTCTGTTATTATAGCGAGTTATTGATCCATTAACTACCCTTAGTAAACACACCCAGATCAATAATAAATAAATAAATCGTAACAGATGGGATAACAAGGTATAATTTTTTTTTTTAAGGGTAACAAAATTCTATAAAGTTATGAATACCGAGTTATGTTATCAGCAGGGGACCCCCACCACGTTGGATCAGAGGTGGACAGGAAGGTGACTTGATAATGATATGTTAGGGGGGGGGGGAGTCTGGCAGAGGAAATTAGTCTTGATAAAAATGGAACTCTGGGCCAAATGGGTGATTAGCAGAAAGGGGGATGGGGGGGAAGGGGTTGATGGTGTGTGTCGGACGGTTCTAGTTTATTGTAAGTCTTATAATTTTCTAGGTTTTATTGAAGTGAGTATTATAAATTATATTACAAGTTCATTCATCAGAGTATACAGTAATTAAGGGATTACTCTACAGGATTATAATTTTACGTTTAATTATTATTTATAAGATGTGTTTAAGAATAATTAATGAATGACTTAAGGCAATAATTTAACTTCGAGGTGTGCATTAGATTTTCAAGGTTAGATATATAGAATGCGTTTACCGACTCTAACCTAACCACCCAGTCATCATATAAAATTACAATATTTCTGTCATGGTCTAAAGATTTCATTCTGGTTCCATTCGCCTCTCGTTTCACACAATCCCGTAGAGAAAAAAAAAGTCATTTGCAAATTGGAAGAAAGACTAGGGGTGGGGGGTGTGGGGGAGGGGGGTGGAGACCTTCATACGAACCTGAAAAAAAAAAAATCAAGGGAAATTTCAATGTCCAAGAAATTAATTGGGAGAAACTGAGAGGAAAAAAAATGTATACAGTGGTGAGCGATAAAACATATTATAATCGACCCACCAATAGGGTTTAGGTGAAAGTCTGGTTTAATCTATGATAATTATGTACTAAAATGAGATATTGTTAATTAGTCTGATAAATAAGCTTAATTATTAATTCCTATTGTCACACGTGTTAATAATGACCTCATCAGTTACCTTAATTTAGATCAGTTATTCTAATCAGGCATTAATTACCACTAATGACCTGAGCGATTATTCTAATACCTTAAAAATGACAAATTAGTGAGACAATTATCAACTTTATATAAACTGACAAGTATTAAGGCTCATAATTGCAAGTTATTAACCTATTTTGAGTTTGTTTAAGTTGAAGTGAATAAGAATCGAGTGAACGATGGTTATTATGTGTGACAACTGGAGTGAATGATGCATAATGATAGCCATGGCAACTGAATCCCTTAACAAAACACTAACCTAACCTACACGAATTTCAAGTCACGTTTTCGAAGGGTTGGAGGGAGGGAGTGAGGGAAGTAGGTGGACTCTTTCAGCCCCTGGGGACGCATTTAGCCCCCATTAGGACTCGAGTGATTCTTAAGTACAGTCTTGGTGGTGGTAGAGGAACAGGGGGAGGAGGAGGAGGAGGAGGGGGGGGGCTGGTGGCTTGCTGTAACACTCCACTTAAGTACTTACTGGGAGGTGTAACTTAAGTGGCCTCCTCCTAGCCCCTGTCTCCTCTTAGCTAGTAGTTCGTCTTAGGATCGTATTCTCTGTCGTCAACAATGCATTCCAATGTGATGAACAAGTACTGAGAATTTATCATTGTTAACTCCTGTTTTGGTAGCAATGTGGGGTGCCTACTGCAAAGAAAACAAAAAATAAAACATAAAACAAAAAACATAAACAGAACAACAAACAAATATTACAAAAAAAAATAAATAAACATTACAAAAAAAATATATACGTTTAGGTGAGACAGAAGTAAGAGCAGAGAAGAAGCATAGATCTGATAACTGTGGAGAAAGGAGGTCACAGAGAAAATTATCCACTAAAGATGGAATTAATGAAGAACACAAGAAAAATTTGAATTTTTTTTATACAGATATTAATAGTAAACAAAATTATTGATAGTAGTTACGGGATATTGTTGTTAGTGGGGTGTTGTTGTTGTTAGTGGGGTGTTGTTGTTGTCAGTGGGGTGTTGTTGTTGTCAGTGGGGTGTTGTTGTTGTCAGTGGGGTGTTGTTGTTGTCAGTGGGGTGTTGTTGTTGTTGAGTGGTGTTGTTGTCAGTGGGTGTTGTTGTTGGTGGGGTGTTGTTGTTGTTGGTGGGTGTTGTTGTTGTTGGTGGGGTGTTGTTGAGTGGGGTGTTGTTGTTGTCAGTGGGGTGTTGTTGTTGTTAGTGGGGTTGTTGTTGTTGTGGTGGGGTGTTGTTGTTGTTAGTGGGGTGTGTTGTTGTTAGTGGGGTGTTGTTGTTGTTAGTGGGGTGTTGTTGTTGGTGGGGTGTTGTTGTTGTTAGTGGGGTGTTGTTGTTAGTGGGGTGTTGTTGTTGGTGGGGTGTTGTTGTTGTTAGTGGGGTGTTGTTGTTGTTGTTAGTGGGGTGTTGTTGTTGAGTGGGGTGTTGTTGTTGTGGTGGGTGTTGTTGTTGTTAGTGGGGTGTTGTTGTTGGTGGGGTGTTGTTGTTGAGTGGGTTTGTTGTTTGTAGTGGGGTGTTGTTGTTGTTAGTGGGGTGTTGTTGTTGTTAGTGGGGTGTTGTTGTTGTTAGTGGGGTGTTGTTGTTGTTAGTGGGGTGTTGTTGTTGAGTGGGGTGTTGTTGTTGTCAGTGGGGTGTTGTTGTTAGTGGGGTGTTGTTGTTGTTAGTGGTGTTGTTGTTGTGTTAGTGGGGTGTTGTTGTTGTTAGTGGGGTGTTGTTGTTGTTAGTGGGGTGTTGTTGTTGGAGTGGGGTGTTGTTGTTGTTGGTGGGGTGTTTGTTGTTGTTAGTGGGGTGTTGTTGTTGTTAGTGTTGTTTGTTGTTAGTGGTGTTGTTGTTGTTGAGTGGGGTGTTGTTGTTAGTGGGTGTTGTTGTTGTCAGTGGGGTGTTGTTGTTAGTGGGGTGTTGTTGTTAGTGGGGTGTTGTTGTTGAGTGGGGGTGTTGTTGTTGTTAGTGGGGTGTTGTTGTTGTTAGTGGGGTGTTGTTGTTGTTGGTGGGGTGTTGTTGTTGGTGGGGTGTTGTTGTTGTTAGTGGGGTGTTGTTGTTGTTGGTGTTGTTGTTGTTAGTGGGGGTGTTGTTGTTGTTAGTGGGGTGTTGTTGTTGTGGGTGTTGTTGTTGGTGGGGTGTTGTTGTTGTTGGTGGGTGTTGTTGGTGGGTGTTGTTGTTGTTAGGTGGGGTGTTGTTGTTGTTGTTAGTGGGGTGTTGTTGTTGTTAGTGGGGTGTTGTTGTTGTTAGTGGGGTTTTTGTTGTTGAGTGGGGTGTTGTTGTTGTTAGTGGGGTGTTGTTGTTGTTGGTAGTGTTGTTTTGTGGGGGTGTTGTTTGTTGTTGTTGAGTGGGGTGTTGTTGTTGTTAGTGGGGTGTTGTTGTTGTTAGTGGGGTGTTGTTGTTGTTAGTGGGGTGTTTGTTGTTGGTGGGGTTGTTGTTGTTAGTGGGGTGTTGTTGTTGTTAGTGGGGTGTTGTTGTTGTTAGTGGGGTGTTGTTGTTGTTAGTGGGGTGTTGTTGTTGAGTGGGGTGTTGTTGTTGAGTGGGGTGTTGTTGTTGTTAGTGGGGTGTTGTTGTTGTTAGTGGGGTGTTGTTGTTGTTGAGTGGTGTTGTTGTTGTTGGTGGGGTGTTGTTGTTGTTAGTGGGGTGTTGTTGTTGTTAGTGGGGTGTTGTTGTTGTTGTGGGGTGTTGTTGTTGTTAGTGGGGTGTTGTTGTTAGTGGGGGTGTTGTTGTTGTTGGTGGTGTTGTTGTTGAGTGGGGTGTTGTTGTTGTTAGTGGGGTGTTGTTGTTGTTAGTGGGGTGTTGTTGTTGTTGGTGGTGTTGTTGTTGGTGGGGTGTTGTTGTTGTTGGTGGGGTGTTGTTGTTAGTGGGGTGTTGTTGTTGTTAGTGGGGTGTTGTTGTGTTAGTGGTGTTGTTGTTGTTAGTGGGGTGTTGTTGTTGTGGGGTTTGTTGTAGTGGGGGTGTTGTTGTTGTTAGTGGGGTGTTGTTGTTGTTGAGTGGGTGTTGTTGTTGTTAGTGGGGTGTTGTTGTTGTTAGTGGGGTGTTGTTGTTAGTGGGGTGTTGTTGTTGTTAGTGGGGTGTTGTTGTTGTTGTTAGTGGGGTGTTGTTGTTGTTAGTGGGGTGTTGTTGTTGTTGGTGGGGTGTTGTTGTTATTGGGGTGTTGTTGTTGTTAGTGGTGTTGTTGTTGTTAGTGGGTGTTGTTGTTGTTAGTGGGGTGTTGTTGTTGGTGGGGTGTTGTTGTTGTTAGTGGGGTGTTGTTGTTGTTAGTGGGGTGTTGTTGTTGTTGTTAGTGGGGTGTTGTTGTTGTTAGTGGGGTGTTGTTGTTGTTGGTGGGGTGTTGTTGTTAGTGGGTGTTGTTTTTGGTGGTGTTGTTGTTAGTGGGGTGTTGTTGTTGAGTGGGGTGTTGTTGTTGTTGAGTGGGGTGTTGTTGTTGTTGAGTGGGG